ATGTCAGATCCCAGCCAGAAGAAAACCTGTTCCCAGATCATGGATGAGTGGAAGGAGTTTATATGGAACCCCAGAACCCGGGAGTTCATGGGCCGCACTGCCAGCAGCTGGGGTAAGAGCTGGGGGGGGAAAGGGGAATCTATGGGGGGGGAGAACAGGGCATCTATAAAGGTACTGACATCCCAACATCACAGTTCAGGGGGATCCTCCTCCACAGACCCCACATCACCGTTCAAGGGGATCCTCCTCCACAGCACCCCACATCACCGTTCAAGGGGATCCTCCTCTACAGCACCCTACATCACTGTTCAAGGGGGATCCTCCTCTACAGCACCCCACATCACCGTTCAAGGGGATCCTCCTCTACAGCACCCCACATCACCGTTCAAGGGGATCCTCCTCCACAGCACCCTACATCACTGTTCAAGGGGATCCTCCTCTACAGCACCCCACATCACCGTTCAAGGGGATCCTCCTCTACAGCACCCCACATCACCGTTCAAGGGGATCCTACTCCACAGCACCCCACAGCACCCCACATCACCGTTCAAGAGGATCCTCCTCTACACTCCATATCACAGTTCAGGGGGATCCTCCTCCACAGCACCCCACATCACAGTTCAGGGGGATCCTCCTCTACAGCACCCCACATCGCAGTTCAGGGGGATCCTCCTCTACAGCACCCCACATCGCAGTTCAGGGAGATCCTCTTGTATAGCACTCCACATCACCATTCAGGGGGATCCCCCTCTGCAGAATCCCTCATCACTGTTCAAAGGGATCTTCCTCTACAGCACCGCACATCACCATTCAGGGGGATCCTCTTCTATAGCACCCCACATCACCATTGAGGGGGATCCCCCTACATAGCACCCGACATCACCATTTAGGGGGATCCTCTTCTATAGCACCCCACATCACCATTGAGGGGGATCCCCCTACATAGCACCCGACATCACCATTCAGGCAGATCCTCATCTATAGCACCCCACATCACCGTTCAGGGGATTCTCCTCTACAGCACCACACATCACAGTTCAAGGGGATCCCCCTCTACAGCACCACACATCAAAGTTCAGGGGGATCCTCCTCCACAGCACCCCATATCACCATTCAGGGGGATCCTCTTCTATAGCACCCCACATCACAGTTCAGGGGATCCTCCTCTACAGCACCCCACATCACCATTCAGGGAGTTCCTCTTCTACAGCACCCCACATCACAGTTCAGGGGGATCCCCCTCTACAGCACCCCCACATCACCATTCAGGGGGATCCCCTTCTACAGCATCCCACATCACCGTTCAGGGGGATCCCCCTCTACAGCATCCCACATTACTGTTCAGAGGGATTCCCCTCTACAGCACCCCACATCACTGTTCAGGGGGATCCCCCTCTACAGCACCCCACATCACCATTCAGGGGGATCTTCTTCTACAGTATCCCACATCACCATTCAGAGGGATCCTCTTCTACAGCACCCCACATCACCGTTCATGGGGATCCTCCTCTCTACAGCACCCCACATCACAGTTCCCGGGGATCCTCCTCTACAGCACCCCACATCACAGTTCCCGGGGATCCTCCTCTACAGCACCCCACATCACAGTTCCTGGGGCTCCTCCTCTACAGCACCCCACATCACAGTTCCCGGGGCTCCTCCTCTACAGCACCCCACATCACAGTTCCCGGGGATCCTCCTCTACAGCACCCCACATCACAGTTCCCGGGGCTCCTCCTCTACAGTACCCCACATCACAGTTCCCGGGGATCCTCCTCTACAGCACCCCACATCACAGTTCCCGGGGCTCCTCCTCTACAGCACCCCACATCACAGTTCAAGGGGATCCCCCTCTACAGCACCACACATCACCGTTCAGGGGGATCCTCCTCCACAGCACCCCACATCACCATTCAGGGGGATCCTCTTCTATAGCACCCCACATCACAGTTCAGGGGATCCTCTTCTACAGCACCCCACATCACCATTCAGGGAGTTCCTCTTCTACAGCACCCCACATCACAGTTCCCGGGGATCCTCCTCTACAGCACCCCACATCACAGTTCCCCGGGATCCTCCTCTACAGTACCCCACATCACAGTTCCCGGGGATCCTCCTCTACAGCACCCCACATCACAGTTCCCGGGGATCCTCCTCTACAGTACCCCACATCACAGTTCCCGGGGATCCTCCTCTACAGCACCCCACATCACAGTTCCCGGGGATCCTCCTCTATTTGAGAGTTTGTCAGGGTGAATTATTGGGAGTTTAGGGAGGACAAGGCACTGATGGGTTGTTGCAGGCCACATGGCTTGGATTGGTCTTTATTGGTCAATGGTGGCGCTAGGACTGCTGTTCTGTAGGTGGTCCCAGTATGATGGCGCTAGGACTGCTGTTCTGTAGGTGGTCCCAGTATGATGGCGCTAGGACTGCTGTTCTGTAGGTGGTCCCAGTATGATGGCGCCCTCTTCTGTACTGAGAGAAGGGAAATCTTTCCAGCTCAGACCGGCAAGCACTGTTGGAGGAGCTCCGATGGACTTGGAAGAGGTGCTGGCAGAATTCCAGCTGAAATATTTCTGGTGGGCTGGAGTCCCATTTGGACTGGTCTGGGTAGTTGAGAGGACCCCAAACTCTGCCATAAAGAAGGATTGATGGGTGATGATGATGGCTGGCTTGGATCCTCCTGATTGGTTGATTTCTAGGCCGAGGTGTGTGTAGCTGTTAGTCGGTAAGGGAAATGAAGGGCTCTTAGTTTGTTCGGTGTTTTCCCTTTGGAACGCCATGACTTTTGATTTCTTTGAGTTGATAGTGGTGCCCATGTGGCACGGAGCTTCTCCAGAACTTCCAGGTCGTCTTGTAGACCTTTCTCAATGGTGACAGTAGTAGGAGGTCATCCATACGGCAGAACCTCACCTCGGTGTCACGTAGAGTCAGTCCAGGTGCTGGGGAGGATTCTAAAGCTGCAGCCAGTTAGGAACATAGAAAAGTGAGGGCAGAAATCAGACCAAGTGGTCCATGGCGTCTGCCTGGTTTTTTTTTTATATATATTTTGTGTTTTGTTTTTTAATAACCGTCCTTTGATGTAGATGTTGAAGAGGGTTGGACATCGGCTGCAGCCCTGACTCCACGGGCCTGCCGAGCATGCTCTGTCCTTTTATTTATTTATTTCAGGTACTTATATAGCGCCGTCAATGTACGCAGCACTGTACATATATATTGTACATTCACATCAGTCCCCGCCCCCGAGGAGCGTACAATCTAAGGTCCCTAACTCACATTCATACATACACATACTAGGGCCAATGTACACAGGAGCCAATTCACCTACCAGCATGTCTTTGGAGTGGTAGGAAACCGGAGTACCCGGAAGAAAACCACACAGGCACAGGGAGAACATGCAAACTCCAGGCAGGTTGTGCCGTGGTTAGGATTTAAACCAATAACCTTTATGCTGCATCGTTTCTCTGACATCATATGTGTTCCACTCTCCATTAGTTTCAGGAACAGGCCTGGGTGCCACATGGAGTCAAAGGCCTTCTTAAAGTCCATAAAACAGGCGACTTTCTTCCCATGTTTTGTATTGTGGACATGGTTCTTGATGAGACTGTGCAGGGTGTAGGCGTGGTCTGTGGTCTGTGGTCTGTGGTCTGTGGTCTGTGGTCTGTGGGTTGGCATGAATCCCGCCTGGCTTCTACTGAGGACGTCTTCTCTTCGCCCTCTCTCCCCTCCTCCTCTCCCCCTCCGCCCTCTCCCCCCCCCTTTCTCCCTTCCTCTCCTTTCCTCTCCCCCTCTCCCCCCCCCCCCTTCCCCCCCCTTCGCCTCCTCCCTCTCCCCCCCCCCTCCCCCCCCCCCTCTCCCCCCTCCCCTCTCCCCCTCCCTCCCCCCTCCCTTTCCCTCTTCCCTCCTTTCCTCCCCCCCCTCCCCCCCCTCCCCCCCCCCCCTCCCCCCTCCCCCCCCCCCCCCCCCCCCCCCCCCCTCTTCCTCTACACCCCCCCCCCCCCCCCCCTCTCTCCCCCCCCCCCCCCCCCCCCCCCCCCCCCCCCCCCCTCCTCCCCCCTCCTCCCTTTCCCTTCTCTCCCCTCCCCCCCCCCCCCCCTTCTCCTCCCCCTCCCCTCCCCCCTCTCCCCCTCCCCCCCCCCCCCCCCTCTTCCCCCTCTACTCCCCCCCCCCCTCCCTCTCCCTCCTCCCCCCCTCTCTCTCTCCTCTCCTCCCCTCCTCCCCTCCCCCCCCTCCTCCTACACTCCTCTCCCCCCCTCCCTCCTCTCCCCCCCCCCCTCCCCCCTCCCCCCCTCTCTCTCCCCTCTCCTCCCCCCCTCCCCCCCCCCCCCCCCCCCCCTCCTCCCCCCCCCTTCCCCTCTCCCTCTCCCCCTCCCTTCCCCTCCCTCCCCCCCTCCCCCCCCCTCCCTCTCCTCTCCCCTCCTCTCCCCCCCTCTCTCCCTTCCCCCCCCCCCCCTTCCCTCTCCCTCCCTCCCCCCCCCCCCCTCCCCCTCCCTCCCTCCTCCCCCTCCCTCTCCTCTCTCCCCCCCCCCCCCCCCTCTCCCCTCCTCCCTCCCCCCCCTCCTCCTCTCCCTCTCCCCCTCCCCCCTCTCCCCCTCCCCCTCCTCCCCCTCCCCTCCCCCTCCCCCCCCCCCCCCCTCCTCCCTCCCCCCCCCTCTCCCCCCTCCCCCCCCTCCTCTCTCCTCCCTCTCCCCCCCCCCTCTCCTCCCCCTCCCCTCCCCCCCCTCCCTCCTCTCTCCCTCCCCCTCCCTCTCCTCCCCCTCCCCTCCCCCTCCTCCTCTCCCCCTCCCTCCTCCCCCCCCTCCCCCCCCCTCCCCTCCCCCCCCTCTCTCCTCTCCCTCTCCCTCCCCCCCTCTCCCCCCTCCCCCCTCCCCCTTTCCCCCCCCTCTCCTCTCCCCCCCTCCCTCTCCCCTCCCCCCCTCCCCTCCCCCCTCCCTCCTCCTCCCTCTCTCTCCCCCCCCCTCCCCCCTCCCCCCTCTCCCCCCCCCCCCCCCTCCCCCTCCTCTCCCTCCTCCCCTTCTCCCCTCCATCTCCTCCCCCCCCCCCCCCCCTCCTCCCTCTCCTCCCCTCTCCATGTCCCCTCTCCCCCCCCCTTCCCCCCCCCCTCTCCCTCCT